GCTTGTCTACCATAGGCAGATGAGATGGTTTCTATGGCCGTGGTGCCAGAGAGTTTGCTGCTTCGCGCGTAGTATTCTTCCGCTGCGGTTACGGCGTCAGAGCCTATGCTTACTTTGTCTGCGCCGGACTTGAAGTACATGGTTGCGATGTCGAGGGCAGAGATCTTGCTTCCGTCTGTGTCTACTGTGTCGCGTATGCCTCCGCCGATTGTCAGAGGGACGAAAACGGTTTCGCTGGTTCGGCGCAGGATCTCGAGCATGGGTGTGTCGGCTACGGGGCAGTTGCGGAAGGAAGTGATGTTCAGGAAGGTGACTTCGTCGGCGCCTTGTTCGTAGTATTTCTTGGCCATTTCGACGGGCTTGCCTAGGTTGCGCACTCCACCGCCGGCTCCTTCTTTTTCGCGGACATCGTATTGGTCGCCTTTTGTTACTACTAGGTCGCCTTGGTCGTTGGTTCGGACGTCGAGGCAGGCGATGACGCGTCTTGTCAGGCCTTCTTTTGTTTCGGCTGCTGATGGCTTCTCGGGTAGCTTCTGTGACATGTTGCCATCCAACCAAGCCTTTAGGACGCGAAGTCCTGCTGCGCCGCTCTTCTCAGGGTGGAATTGTGTGGCGAAGATGTTTCCCTTTGCGACTGCGCCGATGAACTCCTCGTCGCCGTACCGTGCTGTAGCGACTGCCCAGCCATCCTTCTCCAACAGACCCTCCTCATATATCGCGGCGTAAGAGTGAACGTAGTAGTACTTTGACGTTGGTCGCAACCCGTACAATGAGTCATCCGTAACTTCTCCTGTGCGCGATGTGTTTGCGCTATTCCACCCGATGTGCGGTACACTCTTGTCTGCGTCCTTGAACTTCCGTAGTCGCATAGGAATGACGCCCAGTCCCTTGACATCAGGACTCTCCTCCGAGCCTTCGAACAATGCCTGAACACCGACGCATATTCCCATGAAAGGTTTCCCCGCCCTGATGTGTTCGCGGATGGGTTCGACGTAGCCGGCTTTCTCTAGCTGGGACATGCAGTGGCCGAAGTGGCCGACGCCGGGAATGATGAGTTTCTAGGGGCGATGCTGCATCAGCACTTGTCAATTGTTGCGCGCGTCTTGGTGAGAGGGCGGTGGTACCTCGGCAGAGGGCACGTCCGCGGGCGTCTTGATCCATTCGACCGTGTAGCCAACCTTCTCGATGGCATTGACGAGGGAGCGGACGTTGCCGGCGACATAGTCGAGTAGGTGGACTGTCGGCATATTCGTGGATGCGTTCAGAGGAATGACTGTAGGATGTTTGACTCGAAGAGTGAAAAGTAATTTGGATGCACCCCACGCGTCATTGGAGGGGCAGTCGCGCTACTGCTAGCGCCCGCTGCACCCCTGTCAAATAATTCTTTGGATCTTCATCGTCGTCGCGAAGCCATCGCAAGCACTGAAGACCCACCACCCACGGCAATCCCATTACAACCTCGTCAATATGGTGCGCAAACTCAAGCATCATGAGCAGAAGCTCTTGAAGAAGGTATGAACCACCTGCTCCACTCCACCACCGTTGCGCATCGCCGTCGGGACCGCCGCGCGAACAGCCGCTATTCTCGCCATGCCCAGCGGCGCTCTCTCCTATACATGGAGAGACAACGACTTATTAAGAGGCACTAACACTTTTGACAGGTCGACTTCAACACCTACAAAAGCGATAATGACCACCGAGAAGCCGCCGTCATGCGCCGCTACGCAATCCAAGGACGCGACGACTACCGCAAATACAATCAGCTCGCCGGCTCATTGCGACAACTCGCACACAGAATCGCCAACCTCGATCCATCAGATCCCTTCCGCGCCAAACAAGAGGATCTGATACTGGAGAAGCTGTTCTCGATGGGCTTGCTAGGAACTGGTGGCGGCGGCCGTGGAAAACTATCCGATGTCGAGCATAAGCTCACAGTGAGCGCATTCGCAAGGAGGAAGTTGCCAGTCGTCATGACCCGGTTACGCATGGCGGATCATGTACAATCTGCAGTCACACTCGTTGAACAAGGGGTTAGTACACTGGACTCCGGACATGATTTCTTTAGAAGTCATCTCCCTCGACACAGCTAGGAGCTAACAAAGACACAGCACGTAAGAGTTGGAACCGATGTCATCACAGACCCAGCCTACCTGGTCTCGAGGAACATGGAAGACTTCGTCACATGGGTCGACTCCTCCAAGATTAAGCGCAACATCATGAAGTACCGCGACAAGCTGGACGACTTCGAACTCGAAGCCCTATGAGATTTCCGTTTCTTTTTTTGGGCGGCGTTTGTGGATACAGCATTTGAAGGCGTTACGACATACTCGCGATATCCGGCTATGGCAAAAATTGATCTTTGTTCTTCCACTCATACCTACCATCACATTTCAAGTACGTAGCGTGTCAGACGAACCCACGTCTCATCCTACGAGAACGAGCGAATGCGGTCACATGTCTTTTCTCAAGGGCGTTCGAATACGAGACCAGAGATTGGAAGAGATGCATTGGGTGGATGGCAAACCATGCGCTCTGAAAGACACCAAAACTCCCACAGCAATGCGATCTCCAGTGCGTTTTCCTCCGCTGACTGTTGCGCACACAGGACAACGATAGCCAACGCCGGGTATACTAAGTCGGCATTGGCTATGTTTTTCCGACTGAACGAGCCGTGACCAATCATATTCCCTCACTGACGCCATACGACATGCAGTTCTTTACCCAAACCGGCAATGACAGTGCTTATGCTCATATCGGTACAACGCCCCCAAGTGTACTAGAATTTTGAGTCGGTTGCATGTGCATAAGTGCCCTCTCGCTATCTCCATACATGGGTGGGGATGTTTGGGGTGAATTCCGGGGTAGCTGACGGATCACACTAGGGAACAGCGGGACGGTATTTATGACGGTGCTGATCCTCCAGCTCTGTATTCGGATATTTTCAGTACTTCGTAGTGATTTTCTCTATTGTCGTTTGCTACGCTATGGCTGCGAAAGGAGACCGCGAGCCCTCGGTGGCACATATCGAAGCGCTCGAGCATAGCACGAATACGTCGGATCATGACAACTACGTCCACAACAATGACGCCAACGAAGAGATCGTCCGCCATCTGCAAACCACCGGTGAAGATGTTGGCATGACCTGTGCGTACTGCCCAACATCCGGACTGGCCACCAGTCATATCTAACTCGTTCCAGTTCGCACATTGATGGCCGCCGTGTCTATGGCCATGTGCTACAACGCCTACCTCTTTACCCTCCTCATCCCACCAGCGATCCTCACGTATATCAATGCCGATCTTGGTCCAGATCCTAGATACACCTGGATTACGATATCGTGGAACCTTGGTGGCGCGATGTTTGTCACCGTTGGTGGACGACTTTCAGACATATTCGGCAGGCGATGGTTCTTCATTGCTGGAGCTATCATTCTCATCATCGGCAGTATCGTTTCGGCGACCGGACAAAGCATCAATCAGATGATCGCCGGCGGTGCCTTGTTTGGATGCGGTTCCGGGTTCCTGGAAATGGCATTTGGTGCGGTTCAAGAAATTGTGCCGAGCAAATATCGTCATGTTACTATTGGGTTGTTCGACGCCGCCTCAATCATAGCACAGATCATGCCCCTGGTCAGTTGGGTCATCATCAAGCAGACGGGCAACTGGCGTATTTGCTACTATGTCATGATAGGCTTCCAGGCTATCAACCTTGCCCTTCTGTTCTTCTTCTACCACCCGCCATCCTGGAAGGATAAGAAGGCTGAACATGGCAAGACTGCTGGACAGCTTTTACGCGAATTCGACTGGTTGGGGTTGTTTCTATTCCTGGCCGGATGTACACTATTCATCGTCGGTGTCAGCTGGGGTGGATCACAAGCTCCCTGGGTTTCTGCGACAGTTCTCGCACCGATCATCATCGGACTGGTAACCCTGATTGGTTTGGGATTCTATGAGGCCTACTATAATCTAACAGCACCACTGTTCCCGCCGCGTCTTTTCAGAGCATTGCGCCACTTCACTGTTCCGATGCTAGTCATGGCCATAGGCGGGCAAGTAATCTCATTCGATGATACGGTTCAATCTAACGAATAACAGGATGCAATACTACTCGAACGCAACTCTGTGGCCACGCCTATCCCAACTCATCTACGCCACCGACGAGATATCCAAAGGCTTGTATGCCGAAGTCCTACCTCTCGGAACCATCATCGGTGGCATTATTGTGGCTTTCAGCAAGGTCATCGGACACCAACGTTGGGTCATAATGTTCGCCGTCGCGTTACAGACAGCCTGCGTCGGCGCCATGTCTACATCTACAATGGATAATCCCGTCAAGTCAATCATCCTAACAGTCATCATCTCAACCTGTACCTCTGTCAACCTCTTGAACGGCATGGTCTTGGTAGGCTTCGGAATCGTATATCAGGAAGATATTGGCACGGCAGCCGGTCTTGCAGGAACCTCTCGTCTACTTGCTGGCGCTGTCGCTACCGCCATCTTCGGAAACGTTACGAACAACAAGTACGGAGACGCCTTACCTGCGCGCGTTCGTGCCAATCTTGCCCCCTTCAATCTCTCCTCGGATATCGTCACTAGGTTGATCACCGCGGCGAGAGCAAACACAGCTACCGGGTACCAAGCTATCCCAGGTATAACTCCTGCTATCCGAGCTGCAGCCAGTTTAGGGAATAAGCAAGCATACTTGGAGGGTGCGCATTTGTCGTATCTAGTGGCCTTGGCGTTCGGTCTGCTGGGAGTGGTCGCCGCGTTCTTCATTCCGTCGGTAGACAAGAGAAAGTACACCAGTAAGACCGTTGCTGTACAGAGACGCGACAGGAAAGAGTTGCAGGAAAAGAAGGTCGCGGGGACTGTAGGGCCATGAGTTCGTTTGCTCGTCGAGCTGCGTCCTTGTGGAAAGTTTTACATCGGCAATTACATGCAAAGTATTACCGCACCATCTACATAACATCAGTGTCGCTCTCGAAAGACACGATCTCATGCTCAATCTTTCTTCTCGCTTGCATTTGCACCAATCTCGACATCCGTCTTCGCCCAGTATTTGCTAAGATCTCCAACAGGCGGACATACAGACCAGCGCATCTCTGCAGCCATGATGACGAAGAGCATGTACCAGCCCAGCAGGCCTACTATGAACAAGAGCGCTCCACCAGCCTGTACGCATCAGTAACGACCCCTCAAAAATGCCAGAGTCACTCACCTTCTGCAACTTCAACGCCTTATCAAAATCCCCCGTACTCAACGCCCAGTACGCTCCACTCAACACCCAAGCCCCGACCGTCACAAACCCGAAGATACCCGCAAAGACCATGTTGATCCGGATAGTAAAGAGCCAAAACGTTGCTAGCGCAAAACCCCACACAAGCAAATACAATGCAATGACTGCGTTCATCTCCTTGCTCACCATCCCTGCTGCTGCATCGCCAGTTGGCGAGTATGCGGCAGAGAGACCGAGGGTGGGCAGTTGCAACATGCCGAAGGAGAGCCAGAAGACGGCGAAGAGGCCGCAGACCATCATGGGGAAGAATTGGGCTTGGATCCAGAGGAAGATTGTGGAGAGGGTTAGGAGGAGGGGGCCTGTGAAGAAGAATATGCCGCTGCAGGGGGATGGGGGTTAGTATGGGGTGGAGTTGGGATGGAGTTGGGATGGGGATGGGGGAGGGAGGGGATGGACCTACACGACTGCTTGCATTCCGGCGGCACCGCCCCAGCCCATTAGTACCATGGAGAACGTGAAGGTTGAGATTACGAAGCCTAGGAAACCCAAGGGTGTCGCGTTTGCATATTTTCCCACGCGGTCGTTTGCGTGTGGTGTTTTGGGCGCGAGATACAGTTTCTCGAACAGCTCTGGGCTGATTGAGATGTTTGTTGATGCGTGTGCGAGATGTGGCTCTTTGTCGATGCGATCAGAGTCTGTGCTGTGCGAGGTCACTGTTGTTGTTGCCATGGTCGTTGTAGTCGGTATGCTTGCAATACACGGGTGATGCAGAGTAACTAATGTAGTAATGTAGCAACCATACGATGGCCTTGTAGCTCGAGCACAAACTCAGGGTACTCCACGCTTATCAACTCGAGAGCTTCCCTGTCCGTCTTCGCTCACCACTCCTCCTCCACACGCACATGCACAGTGGGGAACACGACATCTCGAGCGCCCTCTTCTTGGTCGACCACTCATCAACCACTCATCCATCTCACTCCTCTGTCTTCCAAGCCGTGCGCTTCGGTCTCCGTGTGCACTATTCGATATTCCCATTCGCAGAATACCGCCGCCACGGCTCGGTCAGTACGCAACTGTCTCCCAACTGGCTGGATATATATCACGATTACGCCGAAAAGCCTCCTTCGCTACAGCTTGCTTGTGGGAACATAAAAACGATGGTCAGCATGTTGAATCCGGTGGTGGAGGTCGGGTGTTCCCCGCTCGCTACCCTTGTGCTGGGCTTACTCGGCAATTTCTGAGACGATGTTGATTGGCTGGGATGGGACGGGAAGACGTGCCTCGCGGCTTGGGTGTGGTAAGCGGGAGCTGCAACACCGTGCGATGACCGGAAGGAGATTGGTGGGGTGATTCGGGGGTGGGGATCGAGATGGGACGGGATGCGGAAAGGGTCTGGGGTGAAGATGGGTGGAGTGGAGGTATGAACTGCGTACTTGGGTGGCTGCGGTGGTGAGATGGACTAGCGACATGTATGCGCTTAAGGACCTGAACGCCACACAGATTATCAGGATAAAAATGGTCGCACATAGTTTAGGGTGCGAATTCGGATAACTCTCGCGAAAGGGGTGTTATTGCAATATCTACAAGAAGGGTGGAAGTAGCGGAGCAAGTATGTACATGTCGCCCCCCAAAACAAAGTGGAGAGCAGCGATGACAAGATATGTATGAGAAAGAAGGGGTAAAGTCAGAATAGGGTTGAAGGAGTGTGAGAAGAGAATACAAAGTCTAGGGAAGGCCGGACCGCTGCCAGCAAACGTCGCGAGTAGAAAAGCATCGCACCGCCTATAGCTGGACGAAGTATTGCTTGCCCTTGGAGTCTCCTGCGAGGGAAGAACACGTCAGTAGTCAGCCTAGTCCAGCCTAAACGACGAAGTCCCCTCAACAAGAGGAGGCCAACGCTTCTTAAGCCCAGAATCATCCTGAGGCCACACATCCGTCGTCCCAGCCTTGTAAGCAGCCCAATTAGCGCAATTCTGCTTCCACTCAGAGCCAGCAGCCGGAAGATTGATTTCAGATTTGCGCTCGAGGAACTGGATGCCGAGGCCCATGCCGACGTGGAAGGCGATGTGGCAGTGCATGAGCCACTGGGAGGGAGGAGTTAGTGTTTGTTATTTCAGTGGCGATATTGGGGGATGGTTGGGATGGTTGGGATGGTTGGGATCTGAGTGTCTACTTACAGCACCAGGATTATCAGTCGGGTATGCGAGAACGAGCCACCCGCTACCCCTAAGCTGAACAACATCGCGACGCGGTGGGTTGGTGAAGCGCAGGGAGCTGAAGTGCGTTGCCATACTGAATTGACCGTCACCGCCGCCGAGGACATAGCTGTCATGGCCGTGAAGATGGATGGGGTGGGCGATGGGTGGTGCGCCTACAGCTTGTTGTATGACCCAGTAAGTCCAAGTTGACGCCGAGGTTGATGGTACCTGCACAACATTGTACGACTGCGGGATGCTGTTGTTATTCTCTGCGACATATTGGACGGTCGGCTTTCCGGGGTCGATGATGATGGACGTGCCGTTTATGGTCCACAGAACTGTGTTCCCGTTTGCTGCTACTGGGCCGAAAGCGACGGGGAGGTTCTTGGCTTGGGCGGCGAATGTGGTGCTGGGCACGTTCTTTGCAACTTTCGGGGTGGTGATTGGATCAGCACAGATCGTGAAGGGGTTGGCTGGGGCAGTTGTGGTGGGATCGGCGACGGTCTGACCTTGGTACGTGAAGATGGCGCGTCCTGGGAGAATGGAGCGTGACTGGCACAGGCCGTTAGCGTCGGCACGGAACCAGTAGTTTCCAGCTGTCTGATTCGCAGTGATGATGACGTCGTAGCGTTGGCCGATACCAAGCTGGAGGTGGGTGGTGTTGTATGGGACGACGGGAACAAAGTCGTTTGCAATGACTTGAAAGGGATGGCCGTCGAGGTTCACAGTCATGCTGGTGTCGACTGCGGTGTTCACAAGTCGCAGACGATAGCGCTTCCCCGCTTGCATCGTCACTCGGTTGTAAGCACCACCTCCGGCTGCGTTCTTAGAAGTGCCGTTGATCAGAATGTTATCGGGTACAGGGGGACCCAATCCAGCTTGCCCATTCTGGAATGCTATGGAGGCTGCTTGGAAGGCGGTCTTGTAGAACCAGTCTGTGATTGGCATAACTCCAAGATCCTCGTCATAGTTCGCGGTAGCAGGGCCGTTGACAATGAATGTTCCGACAACTCCATCTCCGTACTGATGCGAGAAGTGCGAGTGGTACCATGTCGTTCCGTATTCGGTTGCTTGGAACTCGTACGTCTTGAGGTCACCGGGTGCTACGGCACATTCGGTAACTCCGTTGACACCATCCTGGATGTTCTTGTTGAGCATGCGGAAGCCGTGCCAGTGGATGGAAGTGCCATTGGATTGAAGCATGTTGCGAACAGTGATTCTGATAGTATCACCCCAGTTGGCAACGATGGTGGGGCCTGGGGTCCTTCCGTTGATCAACATGCAAACCCTTGAGCCAGCACCGTCAGGGTTGCAAGTCGTGTTCTCGATGCGTAGATTGTAGGAGCGAACCACACCCGTATTGGGCCAAGAGGTGTACATATCCGTAGAAGAGTTGAATCCAGCGGTCCAGCAGTCTCTCGTAGTGGGACCATTGACACATGCCGATGATTGACGTTCCTCGAGGCCATCTCGTTTTGGCGTGAAAGGTGCTAGCTCAGTGGTCTCAGACGGGATCGCTATTGCGGTTGTTACTGGAGTGAGAAGGCCCAAGAGGGCCGTCCCAAGGATGGCAAAAGACTTCATCTCGGCTCAATGCGACGGTAGTAACGAGTGTTGAGTTATAAAGACTGACAGAAAAGAAGACAACAGTGCGAAGCGAAAACGCTGCTGAAGATGCTGCTGTAGAGCAATGGAGCAGAGCGTTTGAACTCTTATATCTGATTCCATGACAGACAGCCTTCATACTCCAGTACAGATGATCAATATTCCTTCTGCTCACTCGACTGCGTTCGCAAACGCCATGGGGGGTACGGGCCCACCCTCTCGCCATGTCCACGAATGAAGACAATGATAGTTTGATTCTAAGCTGCGAAAAACGGAGATTTGACATTCGGATGTCGTATTGTTTGGAACGCCTCGCTCGAATGTGAATGTGGGCAAACGGTGATGGAGATGGATGACCTCGTAGTCATACACGAACACAGTCAGCATGGGTATTGATCGCTCACTCCTGACTAGGGCACACCGTATCTGCATCAGGCGGCGGGAAGGATGCGGCAACCCAGTGCTCTAACTGTCGACTGGACAGCAGAGGATTTCTAGGAACTACGCTTAGATCACGCGTCGTGGCTTGCGCAAAGTCCGCAGCCAATCCGCTCCCCTTGTTCGTAATTTGTAGCTTACTCAGCCGTGAGCCACCATCGGATTGTAGTAGGAACTTTGGAAAGGGCTGAATTGGCGCGAAACTAACGACTTGTCAACGTTCATGCTAGGAAGCATGTTGTTTAAATCGTACATACGACTAGAGATACCAGAAGGTAGTATTGCTTCGACAGGTAGTAGCTTCTGACGCCACGTACAGTTCAACGAGCGTATCATCAAGTCTGTGTGTTATGGTAGATTGATCGGTATCAGAATGACTGCGTTGCGCGAGCGGAGTACAGCGGTCGACCCTCGGGGATGCAACCGGAACGTAAGGAGAAGACTGCATCATCACGAGGAGATACCAGTGGTCTGTATACTATCATCTGATACTATTGAGGTAGGTTTTGGTGTGTAAGCTTGCCTATCTCCGTTATTTCCTCGCTCGCATGGCTTAATCCGAGATAAACCATGAGTAGGCGCGCCGCAGCTGATGCATCTGAAGACCTGAGGACAAGCCTCTTCCATGAACATAGCAAGGGCCTGCAGTGGTGTTTTTGGATAGCTTGTCGCGTGATGCAAGGTCTGGATGCCGCCAGGAAGCGAAGTCCGGCGGCGGGCAATCCAACGGACATTATGCGCGCTCCGATCAGCCGGCTGTCTCCTGACAAGGTAAGAACTTAAACATCTGAACCTTCTCTTGTTTTCTTAAACCGTACTGGCCGTAGTGTAGTTATGCTAGAGAATTCTGGTCAGACGTTATGGATGTTGCAGCTAGAAATGTCGGTACATGGAGCGAGCCAAATAGGGCTTCAAACGTGCGCAGTCATGCACGTCTTCGTCTTAAATTCGATGTTTTCTCGTGCGAACGTCTAAGAAGCTTGGGCTTGCGAGCAATTGTCGAACTGAGTCGTGGTGTATAAGTCGGTGAGCCTAGCGGACTTCGGCATCATCGGCAGCCTTGCGTCGACAATGTGGCAAGCTTAGAGGTCATGGAGCCTCTTTAGGTTCGAGGGCGTGTCTGTGTCCCTGCTTCGCTATAGACTGTGGGATTCGTTGCCGTCGTCTGGCATGAACTCTGGTCCCGGCAACTCGTAACCATCGAACGAAAAGCCAGGTGCGACCGTCGTGCCTACCAGCGTCCAGTTGCCTAAACTGGTCGCCCGCTGCCACTGCCCTTCTGCGATGATGACTTGCGGAGCCTGGTCTCTGAAGATGTCGCTACCTAGAATCTGCTCTTGAGTCGCAGTGCCGTTGTTCCATGATAGCTCCAGCGTGAGAGGGGCGCCAGCGTAAAAGTGCCATATCTCGACAGCATCGGTAACGCGATGCCAGTAAGATGGACCGGACTGGCCTTCGAGTAGATAGTAGATGGCGGTTGAGTATGAGCGATTGCCGATGGTACCGGCATCTTGAAAGGTTTGTCGAAAGTAGCCCTTCTCTAGGTTTGGCTCGAGCTGGAGCTTGGCGATGACGTCTTTCGCGTCGGCACATTCGCGATAAGCGGCAGTCAACCCTAGCAGCGATGCGGCCAAGTAAAGTGCGAGTTTGTGCATATCTGTAGCTTTCTGGCAATTGTGTCGCAGAATTGGAGGATCGTCTGCAAAGTATCTTTTGTCAAAGAAACCGGCGCCTGCTGATGCTTATTAGTGATGCCTTCGTAGCTTCCGAGTTGGCGGATACGATCGTCACAGATCTCGTCACGTCATCTGAACTCGACCACCACATTAGCTCCGCGGCATCACAGTACCACAGCAAGAGCGCAATGAAGATAACGAGGAAAAGACATCCCAGGTCGCCCCTATTGCGCGTCCGAGATGGCATCGAAATGCCTAAACGCGACAAACCCTTACACACGCCCTTATCGCACGCCACATGCTGTACACCACGATCTCGACACTTCATTCGATCCGATCTGCGCACTACTGTACAATGAAGAATCAGTAACCGCCGTTAATCGCCGAAGTCCTTCACTGTGGAGATCCGATGGCGGGGCGTCGCACTGCAGTACTCAAGTAGACTGAAAGGTTAAGTATTTCCTCCTCGTACACCGTGGATCCCGCCACATTTGCACCCCTACGGCTATTGCTAGCCTCCGTATATTCTTCGGCCTCTTTTCGTGTCTTCCATCGCCTTGAGTCTGCGACGCCATGTTTCCACGTTTCGCGCTGCCCTATTGGCTGGCAGTCTTGTCGTTTGCGATCTCAGTCGCGTCGACTGTAACACCAGAGACGAAGAACTTGTTTGTGGATGCTGATCTTTTTGAAGCTATTGAGTAAGTGTCCTGTACCACGTAAAACCTGGACGTTTAGCTGACAGTGCAACAGTGATACCGCAGCCCTGCTCCTCGCGTGCACATTACCGAATACAAACCTCCTCGCGGTAAACATCAACGTCAATTCGTCATACTCTGCCTTCGCTGCGTCTGCGATCGTGAACCACTACGGCTATTCTTCCGTCCCGATTGGGTTGCCGAGACCCTACACAAACATCACATCGCCTGAACCATTCGGAGGAGAATATGCCAGCAAGGTCGCTGCTGGATGGTCCGGTGGCTCGGTGCCTAATGGGCAAGTCAACAAGACATGGGATCCAGTAGAGCTCTATCGGAAGACGCTGGCGGAAGCGAAGAACAACAGTGTGACTGTTGTGTCGATTGGTTTCATGGGATCGTTGTCGGGCCTTCTCAATACGACCAGTGATAAATACTCCGTGTTGAATGGATACGAACTTGTCAAGACAAAGGTCAAGGAACTGGTCGTTATGGGTGGGGGTTACTCGCAAGAGCCAGCCCTCGATGCGGAGTACAATTTCGCGATTCAGAACGCACCACACGTCATCAACACATGGCCCGATTGTGTTCCGATGACCTTCCTTGGCGCAGAGGTGGGCGTCGAAGTCCTGTCGGGCGCACGGTTTACTGTGTGTGGACCCCCGAATGACCCAGTTAAATCGGCTTGGGAGTACTGGGGGTCTTACAATCACTCCGAATACTCATGGGACTTTTTGACCATGGTGTATGCGGGCAGGGGCCTGGGCAGTTGGTTCGAGTACGGCAACGAAAATGGGTACAACTTTCTGTTCCCCAATGGCACTAATATCTGGGTGGAGGACGAAGGCAAGACCAGCCAGCGCTATTTGAAGCTCAAGGCCTCGAACGAGACGGTTTCCAAGGAAATGGATAATCTGCTACTGCGCGGCGCGTGGACCCACGCCCAAGTGGACTGAAGCCTCATACTATCGAAAGAAGTGTTCTACTAAGCTCAGGCTTACCAGGCTTTTCAGCGGTTCGCACGGCTCGCCTATGTCTATCCAAGACCACCTCTTGTTCACTCTCCAGGCTTTCAGGTTACAAGTGTAACAACCGTATTTTCCTACGAGCCAGCAATGAATAGTATCCTTTCCATCACCCACCAAAACCTTCTCCACGCTGCCTAGGTACTTTCTCAGGCTCACTATTTCTGAACATGCAAAGCGCTGACAGCCTTGAGTCGAGGCCGGAACTGGGTGCCGATAGTCGATAAGACGGGATGCCATTTCTGGTAAAGATGCGCCCTGCCAAGTGCGGATTCCGCTTGACGCCAAGCTCGTCATGTGGCGTCGTAATCGTTCACCACAACGTTGTTCCCTCAAGCCTTACCGACAAAATCCCCATTGGTCGGAACGCTCAACAATGCTCAGGCGAGCTACGACGAGACTTCACGTGCTTTCTTGGCTACCCAGAACGCCCTGCCGCGCTCCACTGCCAAGTATAGATTTAGCTTCCGCCGAGAAGCCAACAAGCGCGTGTGCCCACAATGACATCGTCCCAGACATGTCTTCTTGGTTAATCTTGGGTAAACATACAACTCCATGTCTGGGCGCGGCCGCCCCGTGTCTGATCTCGATGTATAGTTACATACGCCAACCAGTGCAACGGAGAAGGATGGTGTGGAGAAAACATGGGGATTGTCACCCTGGTGCAGGATTTGACCCGCTCTTTGATGGAGAAAATGTGGGCGTAAACTGTGCCCCGGATACCCTATATAACACGACCTGTCATGGTTCCCAGGCATCTGGTCGTGTGTCCTTTTACTCCTCCACTTTGCGATCAGCATCTCCACTCCCCCCAGGAGATCCCATCTAGACGCGATACTTGAGATCAGTCGTCACCATGTCTCGTCGAAAGCCAGACATCGAGGCTACCGAGCCCAACTTCTCATCATCGGGCAGTGACAAGTCCGACTTTGGTGCCGGACAGCATCATGAACATGCCGGCGCTGCTCCGCAGCGAAAGGCATCAGTCGCCGCAAAGCTCAGAAACCCCTTAGCCGGTTATAGCGAAGAACATGTCCTAGCCGATGTCGACGCATGGTGTGTTGAGAAGGGCCTACAGGAGTACCAGGACGAGTTCCGCAAGGGCGCCCTCATCGCTCGTGTAGGTCAACGAGACGATGGTTTTGAATATGTCAATCAACTGTCCACCGAAGAGAAAGACTGGCTGCGACACGAGGTTACCCATCGGTGGTCTCAACCTAAAATGTTGTATTTCTTGGTTGTGCTCTGCGCTGGATCTGCCATTGTGCAAGGAATGGACCAAACGGCTGTCAACGGTGCTCAGGTCAGTGGCTTTGCCGTTCCCACCTTATCACGTCACGCCACTAACATCTTGTTCAGGGATTCTACTTCAGAGAATTCGGAATCACAGAAGACCAGGTGTGGCTTCGAGGTCTGCTTAACGGGGCTCCTTACCTTTGCTCTTGTCTCATCGGATGCTGGTCCAACGCACCTCTGAACAAGTTCTTTGGCCGCCGTGGAACCATCTTCATCTCTTGCATCATCTCTTTCATCACCGGTATCTGGATGGCGGCCGCTGAGAGTTGTGAGTAAAGACTCGCCAATAGACGTATGAACTGAGAGCTGACGATTACGATAGGGCCAAATCTTCTTGTCGCGCGCTTCATGCTCGGATTTGCTGTCGGCGCAAAGTCCTCGACTACGCCTGTCTACGCTGCCGAATCTGCACCAAAGACCATCCGTGGAGCCCTCACCATGATGTGGCAAATGTGGACCGCTTTCGGAATCATGCTGGGTTTCATCGTCTCCGTCGCATTTCAGGATGTTACAATCATTGGCGGCCCGAATTCGCCATGGAGGTGGATGCTGGCCTCCACCAGTATTCCCCCGATGATTGTCTGCGTCCAAGTATACTTTTGCCCTGAATCGCCGCGCTGGTAAGTTTTCGACTCGCAGTTCATTGGCCTTGCCTTGAGCTAATCTGAACCAAAGGTACATGGAGAAAGGCAAATACGACAAGGCGTTCAACTCACTCTGTCGACTACGCGCGCACAAAATCCAAGCTGCACGCGATATGTACTACGCGTATAAGCTTCTTGAGATTGAAAACGCAGAACGCGAGGGCCGAAACCCGTTCAAAGAATTCTTCATCGTCCGCCGCAACCGTCGCGCCGCACAGAGCGCCTTCTTCGTCATGTTCATGCAGCAATTCTGCGGAGTCAACGTACGCACTGCAGATCCCTTGATTTCACTTGCCATCTCAGTCGCTAATAGCAGCCCAGGTCATTGCATACTACAGTACATCCATCTTCGAATCCGCCGGTTTTTCCGAGACCAACGCCTTGCTCGTATCCATGGGCACGGGCGTAACGAACTTCCTCTTCGCGATCCCAGCTATCTACACCATCGATACATTCGGCCGCAGGAACCTCTTGCTTACGACCTTCCCTCTAATGGGTCTGTGTCTTCTCTGGTGCGGATTATCCTTCTACCTACCCGAGAATCCCGATGGCACGCCATCCCCGCAACGTCTTGGATCCATCGCCGCCGCAATCTACGTCTTCATGGCCGTCTACTCCCCCGGTGAAGGCCCCGTGCCCTTTACATACTCTGCAGAAGCTTTTCCACTCCACCTCCGCGACGTCGGCATGTCCTTCGCCACGGCTACTTGCTGGGGCTTCAACTTTATCCTCTCCCTTACGTGGCCGGCTCTTGAGGCCGCTTTCACACCAACGGGTGCGTTCTGTTGGTACGCAGCGTGGAACTTCTTCGGCTTCATCTACGCCTACTTTCTCTTGCCTGAGACCAAGGCGCTCACGCTCGAGGAATTGGACACGGTCTTTGATGTTGGTAATCGCCAGTTCGCGGCTTACTACACGAAGAAGTTGCCGTGGTACCTCAAGAAGCGTGTCTTGCGTCAGGATGTCGCGCCCATGGAGCCGCTGTTTGAACTTCACGAGCAGGGTGGGCATGCGGATTATGTTGACGAACCGCTTGGTGGTGGGGGTGGTGCTGCTGGCGTGGAGGACAAGAAGATTGTGGAGAAGGATGAGGTGACGAGGAGGTGAGCGTCTTCCTAGTGTGAACACTACAAGTGTTGCAATCTTCACCTTTGCGCATTGTTGTCGTGAGGAGGAGAGTTTCTAGTTGAGTTTTGATGAGTTTGCTTTTGCGCTCATCTGCGACTTCGTTATACCCGTGTTGATGATAGTATCAACAAGAAGAATGAGATATCCTTGTTTGCCTTGACTACATAAGCGTCTTTTCATTGGAATGACTGAGCTCGCATTCGTGAATGCATTAGGACACATGCTTCAGTTGAGTCTTCCCATATTGATTTACCACCTGACTAGGGCCGAATGCATTCGAAAGCTGCAGAACCGGGAATTCTATTGGAATTGCTGTGGGATTATAAAACTCTCCAAAAAACAGACCTAATCATACAAGATTCCTGCCACCGCGGCATTCTACTCCGCTTTCGCCGCAGCAATCTTCAAAATCTCCTCAACACTCTTCCTCGCATTCTTAGGGTCCTTGGCCACCGACTGCCAAATCTCACCATGCTTAGGTTCAGCCATCGCAGCCTTCGAAAGCGCCTCCTCCTTCTTCTCCTCCGTACCGTGTTGTTCCAGGAACTTGTAGTACCAGACCCAAGCATCGCCGTAGTCGCTGTCAAGAGTGACGGCTTTGACGAACCACGTTGCGGCCTTGTCGAGACGGCGCTCACCCCAGAAGATGCGTGCGACGACTACGAAGAGGAGGGGGTCCTTTTCGACTTTCTTGATGGCTTCGAGGGCGCGGGGTTTACGCTGGGTGCGGCCTTCGAGGTGCATGATCTTCTCTGCCCATAGTAGACCGGAGTTGGGGCATTGTTGGAGGGCGCCGGCCATTAGCTGTTGAGCGGCGTTTGTGTTGTTGGCGCGACGCTCGAGACGGACTTGCTCTAGAAGGATCTCGGCGCTCTTTGGGTTTTGTTGTCGGCCACGGTCTAGTGTTGACCTGGCCTTGACGACTGCGCCTTGCTTTACTTGTAACCGGGACAGGAGGATGTACAGTACTGGAGCTTTTGGTGCCGCACGTGTACCAATGTTGAATGCCTCGTGAGCTTCCGGTAACTTCGATAGCTGCTCATAGACTTGGCCCTTAATGGCATGTAACTTCCAGCTGCCTGGCCAGTTCTGCAGACCTTGGTTGCAGATGTCGATTGCTGTCTCGTAGTTCTCCAACTGTCGTTCAAGGACAGCAGACTTCATATAGATGCGGTCGGTAGCAGCTGATTCACGAGCGATCTGGAGGAAGCTGCGTGCCTGCTCATAGTTACCAGCGTCAACTTCAAAGTCAACAGCGCGAGTGTACAGCATTTCGTTGCCTGGAAGAGCTTCGAAACTTCTGCCCAAAACTTGGCGGGCACCTTCAGGGTTCCCTGACTGCCACATCTCTCGAGCATATTGCAGCCACAGTGACTCCGAGTTAGGGCAGGCATTAACTGCACGCTCTAGGACACTGAGGAGGGTATCTGTTGTACCATGATGCTTTTCGAGATCGGTGGATGCGTGCCAAACCGTCGTACTGTATGGGAAGATAGCGACAGCAAAACCAAGAATGGCTCTGGCTGTTTCCGGCTTATTCCTGTTGAGGACACTCCTGGCATCTTCGAGCCAGACGTCTCGACGCTCGTCGTCTTCGTCAAGACCCCAGCCCACGGTCGCTTTGATGATTGCAGCAGCTGTGCCGGTGTTCCCTTGCTCCTCGCAGATCTCAGCTTGAGAGAGCCACTCTTCACGCTTGATCATAGCATTCTCCTTGATCAGAGATTTGACCGCTCGGGTCATGATCATGTCCAGCATGTCCACTTTGCCTAGCTCTTCTTGTAGCCTGCAAGCATGGATCCAGATTGCCCAACTGGTAGGGATGGCTTTGCGAGCCTTGTTGAGAATCTGCTGCGCGTCTTCCGGCTCAGAGACCCTGGCATATGAAATCCACAGCTCCTCCGAAAGTGGCACGGTATCTGTAGCTTTGGCGAAGAGTAAGCGGACCGCATCCAGCTCTTCCGTGTCGTTAATGAGGGTCTTCCAGAGCTCGACACTCTGGGGGTTGTGGTCCAGAGCTTGACGGGTGACCTTTTTCCTAGACGCCGGAGTTTGTTCGAGATCAATTGCGGCTTGCCACAACTTCACGGCCTTGGGATTCTGTTTGATGCCATTGGCAGCAATGATCTTGGCGTTGTGGAGATTGTCCTTGTTCAGCCTGATCGCTTCCTCCCAGACGACTATCGATTTGGGACATAGTTCGCACCCGCGAGCAATGACCTTTTTGGCTGTGTGTACTTTCCCGGCCACTTCTTCGAGTCGCGCTAACGCAACGTATCCCGGGCCATTGTGTACGTTGGTTTTGACAGCCGATTCTAGCAGTACGCGCGCGCGGTTGATGTCCTCGACTGGGACTTCCTCGCCCATGGCTTCCTTTTTGTTGAGCGCCGTCATGTATCCCTTGGGGTCCACAGACGTCGAGGTTCCAGAGGTCGTTGTGGTTTGTGTGCCAGGGGCACTTGCTGCTGTGTCGAGCCGTACAGTCAAGGCAGACAGTTGGGCCGCTCCGATACTTGCAAGATTCGTCGTCATACCGTCAGCGTCCGACGATATCGTGGTATCAAGCTCGCCGCTCTTCGATGCTGCGGCTAAAACACTGTCCGGTACGGCGTAGGACCTCGAATTTGCCAGCCGAGCTTCACGTGCGCGCTTCGCTTTACCCGTCATATCTCCGACCTCGGGCAGGGCTGCCCATTCTTCTTCGGAGACGCCGCCGAGGGCTCGTTTTAGATCGGCAAACTGGAGCTGGATCTTGGGGTTGTTTCGTTCGTATTCGTCTCGTTCTTGTTGCTCGCGAGCTTCCCTAGGGCGGACATCGGTATCTGTTCGTGGAAAAACACACGATGAATACTTCGAAAATACCGATAGAGGGGAGGGGAAGGGGCATAGGGTAAATGAAATTAGGGGTACTAACCTTCTGGCTCTGCGTCGCTTGTCCATCTTCTCGTCAACCTCCTGATATATGCGGTCTGCCTCGTCATCGTCCTTGTCGTAGTTCATGCCGCTTGAGAAGAGACCGACTTCATTGTCGGGATCTTGAAACCGATCCTCCTCTTCGTCCCTCTCTTCCTCCTTCTTTTCGGTGACACCATACGCCGAGGGAGCTGCCTGGCCTAGCGATGCTGCACGCTTTGCTAGCATCTCCTTCATCTGCTCCTCCGAGGGACCCTCCCGCGCGGGCCCGAGATCGCTTCGCGTTGTGAAGCCAGTGGCTCCTCTTCCGAGACCAGCCACATAGTTCTCGGGCGCGGGCATCGACAGGAAGTCGCGTCGACTCATCTTGGCGGTGGTTTTGGGGGGTGTTGACCAGAAGCGGTGGTTGCAGGCTCTGGCTGGAGCGCGGCGCAAGTTGCGCAAGGTTTACGACGTCGGGCGGAGCAGCGGTCGAACGGAAACTATGGCGGTATTACAGGGAGATACTCAGTGGTCGTGGGTGAGGGATTCGCTGGTCAAATCAGCAGTAAATTGTGTGGTAGTGGTGCCGAGACGGCGTGTTCGTTGAATGCTTCGTCGCGACTTGGATAATAATTTGAGCTAGGCAATCGCGTGTCACGTGCGCGGAAGCTCAGCCAACGCTAACCCAAAAGGTGAGTTTGCGACGGGCACACACAGTAAGAGACACGCACAATGGCTATGAGTAAGCCTTGCTACAGCTAGCTGCGTGCCCAGGCCGTCGGTTGGAGACAGAATAAAAGAACTATCTGTATTCTGACTACAAAATGCTGCGCGAAACAGTACCTAGGTATTCCAGCAACCACACGCATATCTATTGGTTACCACGTGACACACCATGCTCATCAACTCGTCTATCATCAGCAATTACGATGCCGTCTTCTTCTGTGCGGGCGCCTTTCCGTTTGAAGCTTGAAGGGCATAGCGGGGTGACATTGGCGGTAATGGTGGAACCGGCTCCTCTGGTGTATCGCCTCTCAGGTTCCTTCCGCTACAACAGGTCAGCATACGTGTGCACCAATCTTGTTATGGCTCATCTTACCTCTTCGTTTTCCTCAATTTCCCTCCAAACCACTTCTTGAAACTCCGACTAGAAGAAGGGCGTTCTTGTTCCTTGTTGCGGGTTGAATCCGACTGTGCCATGCTGCTCCTGTGACTTGATACATGGCTGGCCTCTGGGGTTATGTCGTCGTCCTCCTCTTCCAACGGTGGAGCCCATCTCTCGACATCGCCATTGACAACTACGAACCAGCCCAACTTCTCTCCTGGCGCCACTTTGTCCCGGAGGTCTGCAATGGCCGCCCACTGGTCATCTCCCAGCCCCGCTCCCCTCATCTCCTCCACATCTGCTCCGAGTCTGATCTCATGCACAACATCGCACACATATGCGTATGGTTGATCCTTGACGGTGAGATCATCGGGGTCGTACTGTTCGATGAAGCGTAAATCAGGTAGCGCAGCCATCTCTTGGGGCCATTGGGTCTTGAAGTTCTGTATCAAACAGGCAGTAGTGGCAGGAGCCATTAGCCATTCTGGTGCCGCATCGTCGAGATTCTGCAGAATAACATGAATGCGAATTTGAGCGCGGGGCCACCGAAAGCCGTGAACGAGCCAGGTTGGCATGGTGAAGGTGAAGTGCTTTTGGTGTAAAGTCTCCGTTTCGGAAGAGGAGTGCCGTAGGATGAAGTCGAGCCAAAAAGCAACAATCAACGATTAGTTAGGATGTACCGAACGAGGAAGCAAGCATTGGTGTGGATGATGGCGTCTTCAGCAAACTTTTAGTTGCAAGTGGTACATGGTCTTACACGTCCTGTTATGTAGGCAGGGATCGCGTCTTGGGAGCTCATGCAGAGGTCTAGACGACTTCCGCAGGGAGGTTGGGACAACCTTCCGCGAGTGGGCGCACGCTAGGAAGAAGCAACGACACAATTGCTGCAAGCGTTGGCTCAGGAGAACGAGACCAGATCGACACCGTGAACGCGATGAATCTGGGAAAAAGCCCCAGACGCCTTTTTGGTCTATGCCAATAGCAGTGTGGGGGAGCTGGGGTGAAGGCAGGCACCATGGTTTGCGCTTGCCTCCCCGCTTGACGCTAATGCAAGGCAGCGCCCGTTCGCGTCGACGGGTACCGCGATGTTTCCGCGCCCGACCTCGCTGCCCACAGTTAAGAAGCTCGCCAGTCCGACCATGTGCGGCCCACTTCACTCTCTGATCTTGTGTCCTTGAGATTCGTCACCATGCCTCTGTAAGTATCGCATCACCGCACTTTTCACGCCACAGTCGCTTACAGTCCATAGGCACCTGCTAGGCAAGAAGTCATGGAACGTCTACAACTCGGACAACATCGCACGGGTCAAGGCCGACGAGGCTGCCGCTGCTGCCCGCGAAGCCGCTGATGACCAGCGCAAGCAAGAGCTCGACGCTGAGCGCCGTGCCACCATCCTGCGAGGTCGCACGCCCCCGCCACTGCCAAAAGAAGAACCCACAAAGGCGCCGTCATCAAGGCGCTCGGGCAACACAGATGAACGCGGTCATGACAGAAAGAGGAGGAGGCTTGCGGGTGAGGATGATACCGACGCCGATATACGCATGGCCAAGTCCATCACGGCTCGACCTGGAGATGAGGCGAAGGACGCGAAAGTGCTTAAACTACGTAGCACCGCATCCGATGCCCCGCTGGAGGACCACGCCGGTCACATTGACTTGTTCCCGGTGGACATGAAAGAGACCATCAAACGTGAGAGGAACGCGGACGCAGAGAAGGAGAAACGTAGGAAAGAAAAGGCCATCGAAGACCAATTCACAATGCGCTTCTCCAATGCCGCAGGAAGGGGTGGTATCGACCGTCCCTGGTACGCTGCCGTACAAAAGCCTGCACCCGCCACTGGAGACAAACAGGACTTGGCACTCTATGAAGGTTTCGCGAATAAAGACGTCTGGGGCAACGAAGATCCGCGCCGCAAAGAACGGGAGCAGGCCCGCATCTCCACGAACGACCCCTTCGCCTTCATGCAAAAAGCACAAACACAGCTAAAGAAGTCAAAGCAGGATAGGAAGCAATGGGCGGCAGAACGCGACCGTGAGCTAATGGAGCTACGGTCAGCCCAAGAGCGGGAGGAGAGGAGGAGTCGGCATCTTAAAAGGAAGAGGCGGGAAGTGGACGACGACGAGCATCAGACACCCAAGAAGGAGGCCTGCTCATCCGCGCGCCAGAAGCATCGCCATAGGAGCCGGAGTTGTAGCCGTGACAGACACGAGTATAGGTCTTCGCACCGCAATGACAAACGACGCACCCATAGCAAGAGCAGGGAACGCGATGGAGACCGCCATAGACATCGTGATCGGCGGAACGATGAACTTCAGAAGGCTTTCATCTAGAAGCGAGTCACTGCACTACATATGAGTGCAGATCATTACGGACAACTCGTTTGGTGTGCTATTACCATCCCCATGGCATTTTGTAAGGCGTTTAATTAAAGCATCTGCGTCTACATCTCACAGCCCTTTGAGGAAAAGCTTTGCTCAAAAGAGAAGAATTTCGTTGCCATCGAATGTGCCAAGATCGACAGACAAGCTGCGACACTATCAGGTCTCGCTTTGCGGGACCGTTACTGTTATATCCTTGAGTGTGCGAAGATTACAAAAAAAGCAAACATGGAGTGGAGTAATGTCGGGATGCCCAAGACCGTTTAGTGTGCTGACCCACCACATACCATGATCGAATGGTGTACGACCGCGTAGGGCGAGTGGGGGCTGCACAATCCTTCAGCCTTGGTGAGGTATATTGCCCACAGTGCCACCTCCTACGAATCAACGAGCCATAGAAGTACTACTAGCGAGACCTTCTTGATTTTTGCCTTTCCCAATTTTCCTCAGGTTCATCGGGTTTCTGGGGCCCAAGGTGTCAATTGCCGTCAACAAGCCAAGGGTACTGTATCGCGGTCAACAGGTTCGCCAGCGCGAATGATAGGATAATCGGTCGGGCCAAGCCCCGGAGTAGGCAAGACACAGCGAAAGTGGCGTATTGTCTGGCTGCGAGTGGCGCAAGGCTGGATACAGCTGTAAGTGATATATCGGGTTTATGATGGGCCTCTCAACCCCCAACCGAAACACCACGCTTATCTCCCTTTGAGTTCGTAAACATGGTCTTCAAAGCAAAATTGTCGAGTAGCGCGGCAGCAGGTATTACTGTGCGCTGCATGCCACTGCTATGCCTACTTCTTCCACTTCTCGTCTCCATCAGCCTTGTGGCTTGCACGGACCAAACCGTCGCATATGGCTCAGTACGTCTATACATTTCCGCACATCGCACGACTATATCGGTCATCGTTCAACTGCTTTCCTCGGTCATGGGGGCACTACAGATAGCAACCTTGACGACTATTATCAATCATGCCATGCGGCTACGGCTTTCAAATGCATCAATGCGGCTTGACACAGCAAGCCTCCTCACTGCGCTGTCACTCCCACGTATACCATGGACCCTACCCTCTGGTACTCTCCTGCTAGCAATCACTATGGTTGTTATCACACAAGGACCTGGGGCCTTGTGGGCTGGTGCCATCACACCAGTCGCGGCTCGAGGCGTACAGCAAGTCGGCAGCATCGCGACACCGCAGTTTACGGCAGCCTCACGACACATCTGGGACTCGGAGTTCGCGATTAACGAAAACGGCAATCTTTGGAATTACGTACAGAACTGCACTGCGATACAGGGCGAGGTCACCTATGTGTCGAACTGCCCGGTGCCAAACCAACAAAGGGCGCTGCTCGAGGCTGCTCGTAGCGCCAACACCGGCACGAGAGCGATCCAAAATTCATCGAAGCCAGACAATTCTATGTGGACATACCATGGGCGATCGTATGGAGTGGGCTCAACCCAGGGGCTACGGGAGGTTGCTCAAGTGCCAGTAGAGTACGGTCTACTCGGCTATACCTACAACGAGACGGGCTACGAAGCCAGCGTCGATTGCATTCGTAACGCGAGCGCAAATCTCACATTCACACTAACCGATAACGTCGCCAACGTGGACATCTGGCATGTCGAGGGCAAGCTGCCGAATTCACTCGTTAGCGAGTTCTATCCGGTCATGAATTGGCATCGCGATTCGCTCGATGATACGACATTGCTCGCGTGGGCAGCTTTCGCAAACCCATCTTCAGATCCAAAACACATGGTCGGCATTGTTGCAAGCGCGATGTATGGTAACTTCAGCAACTTGCAATGCGAGATAACCTTCTCGCCGAGGCTCTTCTCCATCGATGTCGATGGAATCTTGCAGACAATTGTGGTCTCGCCCGTCGGCAGTAGCAATGCTGTCGACCCCGAGCCGACGGGTCATCTACAGAGTAACGCGGTCTACTCGCTCAATCTCCTGTCTCGTATGAGCACTTCGCTCTACGTATCTGTGCTTGGTGATACACTCGCATACAATCTTGAAACCCTCGCAAACACTGTTAGAGCCTTGGACGAAACGACCATTCTTCGAGCGACGGAAGAGAGCTTTGTTGCTATGCTGGACAACATACTGGGTATCTACGGTGGGGCGCAGACGGCGCTTGCCAATGAGACTGTGCCCGTGTCCATCGAGGGAAAATACATGATGATGCGGTTCGGCCAGAAGTCTTACCAATGGGCTGTGGTGATAGTAAACGGTATCTTGCTGGTTGTCTTGCTAGCTGAAGCTATACGCACGCGAGGATGGCGCGGTACGAGTCTCGACATGAACTCTGCATACTACATACTGACTGCATCTACAGGATTACCGCGATTTGATCCTCTCGATTTCAAAAGCGTCGTTGCTACTGCATCATTCGGAAGCGACGCTATAGCAATGCGGCTCAAGAAGCAACATGAGCGATTGGGTAGCGTTACAGACTCGAACGGTGTTTGGTTCGGAGACTCGGAAGACAGAACGCTAGGACATATGAAGGTGCACTTGGAACAAGGCCCGGGAGATATCGCTATCGTACTTTCAGACAACGACGTACTAGGCGGGGTATCAGAAGAATTGCTACCTAAAGGTCAGGTTACTCGTCGCGTTGAGGCATACTAGTTTGTCCCGATTTCAGCCATCTTTATACCGATTTTGATCAACGCATAGCAGTGATGTTAAGGTCGCATGAGTCGAGTTCTGGATTCTCATACGGACTGCTTGCTGGTGACTGCAGAGAACTCAGGCTGACCGACAATCTTGCGTTTGTGAAACCGGTCGCCAGATCGTTCAGTGAGCTGAGTCGCATCGACTCTGTCAGGTGGTAATTACAATCAGGTGCAGAATAGATCAAGTGACAGCGTCTTACCGGTTAGCTTGCAAGACGTGCCTCCAGTCGCATCTTGCCATATTACACATCCACTACAAAAAAGCTATGCGGCACAGTTCGCGTGGATATCTCGGATCACTGTGCCGTCTCACCCGGAGGGGCGACTATCTACCAGAATACACGACACATCTACCACGTATCTACAACACATCTACACCCGTTTGAAGATGGACGACACATCAAAAACAAACAATGTAACGTTCCAAGTCCTCTATCGCATCCACTTCCGCTACCTCTACATACCCGGCCTGTACATCCTGCTGCTCGGTTTCTTCACTTTCGGCCACGCATTGCACACAGTTTGCACGCACCAGGACCCAGGCGGATACTACAAATTCTTGATCTGGCTCGTCCTCGTATTTGGGTACTTCGCATCTCATGCCGGCGCCCATCTCTGTGTGATCTGGCTCGTCTTCAGGGACCTACAGTTGCCGGATATGAGAGTCATGGCCGATTCTGCAAAGCGCACAAACACGGTCCTCCGAAGCATCGCTAAGCTCGTTCCTTGGCGCCACGCGTATATACCTGGTCTGTCTTTCGTCGTTCTCGGCATCCTCGTTCTTGCGCAATCACTGCGTCTGCATTGGATGCAGCCTGGCCCTACGGACTGGGATACGATGCTACCTATTCATTTTCGCACAGTGCAGGGAGTGTCCCTCGAACTGGCAGGCTTTGTTGTTTGTATGGGGTCGTATGTTTTCAAGGGTGTGGAACTGGAGGACGCAGAAGAGACGCAGCAGAAGGGCACGGATATCAGGTATGGGGTCGCTTTTGAGCGAAAGGTGAACGCTTCAAGCGGGCATGACGGTACGCGTTGAACGATGGATGTACCGCATGGAGATAGGAGGGTTCCTTGGATGCTATAGAAAGGAGTCACTGATAAGAAGTTCAAGCAGGTAGCTTCAACTGCGCAGCATGGTTGACGTAGCTCAAATCTGGGTCTACAGCTTCGAAACCTTTGATCGTACGTTGGACGTCTTCTTTGCGACACACTATAAATCAAAGATCGGTACCAGTGAACCGCAGCGGCGAATGGTCAGTTCAGCTGGTGAAGTGTTACACTGCGCTCGGTACATATAAGGCGCAGACGAGATCGCGTGAGGCTACTGTAGCCTTGAATATGTATCTTTCGGCGAAAGCGCTCAGCAAGTATTTAGGTTTGGCTGCCCATGCGGTGATACCCAAGGTGTATGTAGATCGCAAGCGGCTTATCTCAATGTTGAGTTGTGCTAGCGGTGGCTCGCTGTTCAACGGTCTTGAACGCGTCGAATTCTCTCGTCATCTTAGTGTTCTCAGCTGTGCCACTAGGTATTAAAATCTCTCCGAAGACCTACACGATGTGAATGGTAGGTGTAAAGTGTTTGTCAGAGAAGGCCAGTGCCCCATCTCAGTGTTGAGTGACAATTCGAGGGTCCAACTTCGGGAGGCAGCATAGCTTGCACAGGGTTAACGGCCCAAGGCCCCCCATATCGACGCCTCGTTGCCTAACGTTGTGATCATGGGGGTCAAATAAGGATGTTATCATCCAGCATGTCGGCGACTATGTAATAGTACAGACCGGGGAAACTGCAGACTTGTATGCGACCCAATCGGAAAGAGCGCCGCTGGAATTGCGGGAGCGGGGGCGCTGCACCCAGCCACCAGGTAGCCATCCTGCGTGATAAGCATTTTGCGCGTTACCAGGTTTTCATACCGAAATATCGCGCTTCTTGACTCGTAGACGCATGTTGCGAGCGGGTTGTAAGTTGCTAGGCTTGATCACCTAGGCAGGGGACGCGAGCAGTCGAATTCACCCATAGGCCAATGACACCTAGGTTCCTATCGCAGTGCTCCATCACGGGCACGAACTTGGTGACCATGCGACTACGGGGAGCTCCTTCGCACGCGATAAACGTGGTGGACAGTCCCAAGAGCATGTCATACAGCTCGTTTGCGTGCTTCGACTTGTGGCGGCTTAGATGACCCGCATGTGTTTCAGGTGATTTAGCGTCAGGTACCAGCCTAGACAGCGGGCTTCTAAGGTGCACCGGACCGTGGAACGGAGATTTCACGCATATCCACACGCTCACGGTCCCGAGTCCGATTGGCGAGGCCGCATCTCGATGATATCTGTACGCTATGGCGCGAGAGATGAGGGCAACCGGCTGCAAGCATGCCTAGGTAGATGCACATGTTTTGACTACATTGTTTGGTGATTGTCGAGGAGACCTGTTACATTATAGAAATTGGTGCGCTCTATTCCTCGTTGCTTGTACTGCTGTATACGTCTGATACGACGAAGACTCGACTCTCACAAATTAAAATGTATCATGTATTGCCAGGTACATCCCCCCACAGACTAAATGCTCCGGATGGTTCTCGAAAAGGGGAAACTAGTCTTAGTAGTTGCTGCAAGTATATACACTACCCACAAGCCGATCGCTGACGCACTGATCTACTAATAACGTGGTTAGATGGCAATCATGCAAAAGCCCGTAAACTTGAAATCGGTGCAAAGAGGAGGCCTGGTCGTCTATCACGGTAGATTGATTGGCGACTCGACGGTTACTTTCGCGTACTGGGCACGATGGCGTGCACTAATGAAATGGCGTTGGTAGCACGCTGTCTAACGGCGGAGTCAGATCCGGTGTCAGTCACGACGTGTTGAGCAAGGTTGAGCCACGAACCCGAACCCGCAAGCGTTCTGAAATCAAGGTCAGCACCACCTTGCATCGAGATACTTAGCCTTCGCTGTCTCTGCAGTTGAAGGTTTGTCTTGGAATAACAACCCTCCTGTGTACATGCCGTGCACGTGGCCTCTGAGTTCGTGACACAAACCAAACATTCTGGCACTACAAGTCCAAACATACCCATATCACGAACCTTGATCCCAGCATAATTATGGCTTCTGGAACCGCGCTCACGCCAGCCATCATCGCAACATGGCCAATACCCAACTATGTCGACCCAGTCTCGCAAAGGGGCAGTGTCGAAGCTGCAATATACGCGACAACCATCCCAATGGTGCTTTTTGTCGCTGGCAGAATCTACGTTCGGGCGAACCAGAAGTCAGGTGTAGGAGCCGATGACTGGATTATGGTTGGCGCAGCGGTATGTTCGCCCTATGCTCTCATGTTACGTATCTAACATGTGTAGGTCTTCGCCTTGGCAATTTCTGTGTGCTTATTAGTTACAACCACCAACTCTCTTGGGCGTCATCTCTATGATGTGAACCCGATGACGTTTGTGAGCTCTGCAAAGGTATGCAATTACCAGTGGTTTCCACATGCATACTGATGGCTTCTAGTACAACGTCGCGAGTGTCACAATGTACAATGCTTCCATGACACTCACAAAGCTTTCCGTGTGTATGACGTACCTGAAGCTTTTCCCCTCGAGAACGAACAAACTATTTTGTTGGACGATGATCGGGTACCAGCTTCTGTGGGGTGTCATTTCGTCGGCACTCTACATTCTGCAATGCGTGTAGGTCATAACCCCAGGGCTAATGTTTGATCTTAACTGACTTTCCTGTCCCAGTCCAATCCAGTCACTCTGGGATTTCACGATTATCGACAAAGTATGTTTGGACTCGCATCAATTACTCACCGCGAGCGGCATCTGCAATGTAGTGTCGGACTTTGTGGTGTTCCTTTGGCCAGTCGCGCCACTTTGGCAGGTCAAGTTACCGCTATCACAACGCGTGCATCTGGTCGCGGTTTTCTCTTTCGGTGTCCTGACATGCGTCGGTGGCATCTTGAAGGTCGTTTGGTCGCAGGATTACTTCAAGACATGGGATACGACATGTGAGCAGTACCGTTCCACAATAGAGTGTCATCGTGCTAACATAGCCTTCTCGCAGGGGTTGCGTCTCGGGTCACTATGGCATTGTGCATCGAGTTCAACGTTGGTATCATGAGCGGCTGTCTACCTTGTCTCCGTCCGTTCCTAGCAATGATGGCTCCTGGAATCTTCGCTGGACCATCGGCGGCACACAGCGGCAACGCAGCGAGTTCTGGCGGAGCATCCTGGCGCAAGTCTCCCTTTCGGTTTGGAAACTCCAAACTATTCAAGCTAGGCGCGGGCAAGCCGTCGGATCGTGGTGAAGATTACGAGTTCACGGATGCGGAACATGCGGGAGGTGCCCGCGCTTGGGCTGCAGGCGGAAAAGAGGTGCCACAAGCTAGCATCGGCACCGTGTCTGGGTCTGGTATCTCAGTGAACAGAGATGAGAAGCTGCGCGATGGTTATGATTCGCCGGGTGTTGTCACCAATGATGCGACTAGTGAGGAGTGGATCATGAAGGAGGACTCTTCTAGGTAGCTCAACAAGGCGTAGTATATATCAATCATTAAGTATGGTCTTGAGAGCCCATGTCGAAAGCCAACACGAGGGTATATGGCGACACATTCGATGACTGGGAAGGTCGGCGAAAAGTGAAGCAGAGCACTTTCGCTCAAAGTCCTAGAGCTGTCAATAGCCTTCGAAGTCATGACATGAGCAATGCTTCCAAGTGCCATTTCAGACAACGCATCGACGTCGAATGAGTCTCGGAACCTTGTACTATCGGTCCTTGTGATAGATGCGCAGTGCTCGTGTCGATGTATGCGTGCGGCCAGCCACCAGAACTATGTATATCCAGGGAACTCGCAACCTGGACATGACCGAGCTTCATGCCTACGATTGCGTACCGCTGCGATGAGCTGATGCCATAGGCGCTCAAGCATGTGCTGTATGCGCGCCTCGCGGCGACCAGCTTCGCTTCCAGCCTCATCCCAAGGCGCAGGGTACTGAGCGCACCTCAAAGCAAGTCGTGGTGTCGGCTCAGGAGCGTCGCTCTCGCAGAAACCTATCCGGTGGACTTGATCATGTCGACCAAGTACCAATATAATGTGTTTCCGCCCCTAGTTGTGATCCAGGCAGTCCCACGGCGATAGACGGGATTGTGACGCGCGGTCGAGCGGTTCTCACGAGCTTGTCCGTAGATGCGCTGGGTATACGATGGTGGAAATGTGCTGCGATACGATTGCAGAGATGCCTACACGGGTGCTCATGTGGACGTGACCGCTGAGGAAGTGTGAATGTCGACTGGTCGTGTAGCTCATTGGAAGCGGATTTCGGGGGGTATTCCTATCGCATTGGTTCGGAGTGGACCACATAATTAGCGCAGTACGGTCAATTTGTCGATGTCAAAACATGGTACATAAGTTTGGAAGGACTTCGTGATTGATCCGGGCGGTAGCTCCAGGGCTGTTGCTGGAGCGGAAGCTCTGTCTTGGTTCAGAGGCCTTGGGCGACAAGCCGGACGTGCGCGCCGACCATGCTACTCCCGAATTGCCCGCCAGTGGCAGCCTGTCACCCATCATCTAGGCAACAACCCATATACAGCCTGCTTGGATCGCACATGATCACACAGAGCAGTTATCTAGACACAATTTGTGATGGAATTCAGAGGGCGTTGCAATCAAGAAGGTCCGGACGAGGGAGTCCAATTTCATTTGCGCTTGGCGCACGTAGCTCAAGCAGCCGACATGTGACCTGTCCATGTGCACGCCAACACTACCTCGTGTAACCCTCATCAGACCACGACCATCAGCTCTACCCAACCCGATCCCTCCATGCCCGTAACCCGTGGAGGCCGCAGAGTGGCTCGCCACCCACGCAGGATAACTCATGTTCTTCCTTTCAGGCACAACGCGCTCATGGTGTTCCAGGGCCTGGATTCGTGTCCTCTTCCACCGCTTTACAATTTCACCATATACTTCACCCATCCGGACGTCAACCCGGACAATGTTCAGCCATATGAGCTCTTCAAGGCGATCAGAGAAGGCTCCCTACTGGAGAACTTCTGTCACTTCCGCCTCGAGCTATCTTTCCTACATGTCCCAAATGCAGAGGATTCCGACGAGGCCTGCATCGCCCACTATCGTGAGGAAAAGCGCAGCCGGGGAGAATATACACGTCAGGTCGAAACACTAGGGTTGTCGTCCACTATGGACAGTGAGAACGGTGCCGGTAGTCTACCCGGCTTGGTACCAAGTTACATCGAAGACCCGGACACCGAGTATTACCATGGTCTTATCTACATCTACCGAGGACCTGATTGGACTATAGACAAACAGTTTGTACGTCGCATCTCCTTCGATCCTATTCCACAGAATGTGTATAGTTCGCTCGACCACGGGGCAGATGAACCTGACATTCTTCCGGCCATCGCCATCTTTCCACTAACGATACGCCATTTGGAAAATCACAATGTCAAGTCGATTGGCGAGGACATGTACTTCAAATCCTTTCTCGCAACAAACAATGTCACGAATGAACCGTGGGAGGAGGCGATCAGGCTTGGATGGTCCACCTGGTGAAAGAAACCAGTCCTGGACACCAAGCGATGAATATGTACTCGTGATGTTATGTTTTCGTGATCCAGATGTAGTAGTATAGCAAACCTATCTCGACTATGGGGACCATAGAGTTGATAAAGTTGCAACCAATCACAAGGGCGAGAAGAAGCTAACGGGCAGATTCTGGGTTCACGACTGATGCTGCTTGCGTTCATTGCGAAGGCTGTGCTTCCAAGTCGATATATTGAGCCTGCGAAAACCAACCACAGCCTTGCTCTGAGGTTACCCAGCATTAATTACATTCTGATCGCGCGCTGCAGCGACCAATAGGGTATTTGCGAGCAAAGTCAGCCTTGCCCCCAGTCGCACACGTCTGACATTGTGAGGTCAGCTTACAACGGTGATAGTACATAAGGCATCTGTCTCACTCGTGTGTACATAGTCAGCATGGCTTCAACCTCTCAGTCAGTCGAGTTGGCCGAACTATCGGCACGGCCACTTCTCAAGTCCAAAGTCAGCGAAAAAATCGACAAGCCCAGTTTCACCGTTCAGAGTGGTTCAGGGAGTGCTAGCAATGCGCCACCAAATACAGCGCCGAAGCTTCAAAAGGCTGGGAGTCAGAAGAATAGGCATGTCGCCGCGCAGGCGAAGAACATGTTCCGAACAGCGCTAGGTCGCGTGTGCCTCGCATGGAAGCGTTGTGTCGAGGCCGTGAGCCGTGCTTGGAACAAGAGCTGGACGTTAGAGACATCGAGTCTTATCGCCTCCATCCTTACTCTTGCCGGACTTGTTTCGACACTCTTGGTCCATGAGAATAAACCGCTTCCCCAATGGCCTCAGCTGGTCACGATAAACTCTATCATATCGCTATTTTCCCTGCTCATGAGGGCATGCGTGGGCGTTATATTGACAGAAGGTAACTTAAGATCTAAACGTCAAAGAGCATACAAGCTGACTTGAGCGACAGGCATCAGCCAGTGCAAGTGGAACTGGTATCGAAAAGCCAGGAAATTGGATCACATTGAACGACTTGATTCAGCGAGCCGTGGTTCTTGGGGCTCCATCAATCTGCTGTACCATTTGAGACCATCGCAAATATAGTACCCGCCCTGCGATCCGCCCTGCCTTAGACAAGACTAACTTCATGCAGTTATCTTGCTGTACTGGGCGCCGCTATTACGATAATGTCGTCTTTGCTCGGCTTCTTTTCGCAACAGCTCGTGCAATTTCAGGATTGCCTCCAGCAAGACACAACCGCTTCGGTCACCATATCGAGAACCAACTCCTGCAACCGTATTGGAGGTACAATGCAGTCCAACGTACCCGCGGAGTATGCCCCAATGGCAGCAGCGATCAGCGTCGGCGTACTTCAACCCGTCGGAGATTTGACCAATACACTCTCTTCCGGCTGTAGTAGCGGCAACTGCACTTTCTCAGCTGAGGGCAGTGCATCATTTTCGACCCTGTCTTTCGGTCACTTCTGTACCAACATCACCTCAAACATTCGCATAGTGAATGAAACCTATTCGATGAGAGACAACTTGACTAGGGCATACTTGGCACTGGATTATGAAGACGGCCATACCTTGGAGTTCTCACGAGAGAATGGTGGAGAACCTGTCGTTCGCTCCTGGACCTCGTTCACTCCATCGGGCCTGACCACCATATACTTTCTTTTCAGGTCTTCCAATTTTGAGCAAGATTGGAGAGCTGTCAATTGTTCAATGTTCCCAACCATCAACACGTATGAAGCTAGGATCACCGACGCGATTCTGGAAGAGCAATTGGTTGACATTACGTATCTTGAAAGCATATCAGCACAGTTCAATGAGCCGCCCGTTGGGGATGTTGACTTCTCAAACACGGTGTTCACATGGACCCATGCGATGACAACCAAGTACACTATACGGAACGGCATAAGAGAGTCATGCGAGGGCTCCGACCGCCCCAGTACTGGGCTGTTCGGGTTCATGAAACATAGCGACGAGTCCACTTACATCAACGGCAGCGGTCATACGAATCCAAGCGCGGGGTGGAAGTGGTCGTACTTTCCACCGGATTGCGTGTGGCTTCTCAACAAATTTTCGGAGACCACGATAAGCGAAAGCCTGACAGCTACGTTTGACCAGAAAAACCTCTCAATGGGCTTTCACGAGGGAACAGTAGGCTCAGTTCACTTGCGTGTACTGTTCGAGGAAGGCAACATCACATTCGACAGCATTGAAAGACGAATAGAGAACCTCGCGACTTTGATGACTTCTGTCATTCGCACTCACGGTAGCCCCGTACACCTCCAAGTCCCTCTTCAGTCGTCATCTTCTCCCGCAGACGGGCAAATGTGGTTCAACACAACATGTGCGTACGTACGGTGGTCTTGGATCGCCTATCCTGCTGTTATGATTGCTCTCAGCGGTGTTTTCCTTTTGTTAGTTGCGATTGAGAACCGCGACACTCAGCGCGATCGGCTTTGGAAAAGCTCGTTCCTTGCTGCTCTCTTCTGCGAGGTCGAGCTGAACAAAAGACCTCAGGGGATAGCAGATATGAAAGCGAAAGCAAGGACAGCAAGTGTTGCTCTAGAGAAAAGAGGCTCTGGATTGAGGCTAGCTTAACACTAGTAAAGGCTATATAACTAATGTCAATCCCTGCAAATATACACTCTCACAGATTAGCTGTCGAGTTTCACTTGAGCAATAAGCAAAAGATAAAAAACAAGTTGTATGTTAGGTGGTCGCTGAACATAGTTCAATGCTCCAATGGCATCGTGTGTCCCCGCGAAGTGCATCATTACGGCAACTCCGCAATTGACAGATGCAAAGCGACGAGTGTTGAGCTCCTAGTGCGCATCAAGATGAACGCCATCTTCAGCCTTGTGGGGAAGCAATAACCTTGGCAGGTTTAATTATAGCCTAGCTTTCGGCTCATCGGGTCTAGCCCGAGAGAACTCTAACACCACTTTCGCTTCACGAGTCAGGCCATGCTTGGAAGTCTCCTATCCACGATGTAATATATTCTGGTCGCTCCCTCTCATTAGTCTGGTAATGCGTCCCCATTCGCCGACCGTGTCTTAACCCAAGTCACTCGTTCCGACGGTTCTTTTACACGATGCGTCCTTCAATGTTATTAGCCGTTCCGGCCCTTCTATTCCTTAATGTCAATGCGTTGCGCGTCAGCACCTCGAGTGTTTGCGGTAAACAGTCCTGGAACACGCTTACTTGCAAGAATTCGTCTTGGGGAAACTGTTGCTCGAAGAATGGACGTTGTGGTTCCACGCCACAACACTGCGGAACTGGATGCCAGGGTAAATTTGGAGACTGCAAGTCGCCAGTACCTTCAGCACCCGCGGTCATCGTTTCCTCAGCACCTGCGGCAACATCGAAAACACTTGCAGTATCATCGACGATAGTCGTAGTGTCATCGGCAGTACCCGCAGTCTCATCAGCAGCACCCGCAGTATCATCGAAAGTACCCGCAGCATCAGCGGCCCCGGTTACGGGCGGAAAGATCTCCACTGATGGAACTTGCGGCGGAACTTCTGGCTTCACCTGCGTCGGCTCTTCATTTGGCAATTGCTGTAGCGCGTATGGATGGTGTGGAACGTCCACCGCCCATTGCGGCACTGGTTGCAATGCAGCCTTTGGAAACTGCGGAGTGGCGCCATCTTCATCGACCTTGTCCACGACTGCAGTTCCAACTGCGACCTCGGCAGCTACACCAGCACCCACTCAGAAGATCTCCGTCGACGGAAGTTGTGGCAGCGGAGTGACATGCCTAGGCTCTTCATTCGGCGATTGTTGCAGCGCCTACGGGTGGTGGTAAGCTCTCAATGTCCTCTCCCCCTCTCTCTCATACTGACATCGACTCGCAGTGGAAGCACCGCCGCATTCTGTGCAACAGGTTGCCAAGCTGGATTCGGAAAGTGCGATGTTCCTTCCCCCAGCCCGACTCCAAGCAACACGTGTGGCGTCGAAGGCTTCGCCAATGTTGAGGCATACTACGCTTCTTCGTTCAACTTGATCGATGCGACCGATGTTTCGACTTGTGCGACGCTATGTTTGGCCGAAGCAAAATGCAAGAGTTATCTGTTCAACCCAAAGCTTGGAAATTGCGCGTATCTTATGAATTCGCTAGAGCAGGGAGAGTTCATTGCCACAAGTGGCACGGATCAGCTTTTCTGGGAGAGGTCCTGCGCTGAGGCGAAGTAGACTTTGTAGCGAGATGAGCATAAGAGGCACCTAGTCCTTGCGCGTTACATTCGGGAACGATATGCAAGGTGTTCGGACTAGGACAGCGGCTAATTGTAGCTTCTATCGCACCGCTGTACGCGTGTCTAGACGTTACGCTACTTCGTACAATACTATTCTAGTGCTAGAATTTATTTTCTAAATATAATCTACTATTATATTTTATATATATATATAGTAGTTAATAAGACTAATAAAAAGAGTTATAAGATCTATAATAATACTATCTTTTATAATAATTCTAAAAGAACTTATAAAAGTATTAATACTAGTCTAATTTTAAGAAGAAGAGTAGAATAAATATTATATAACTAAGTAAAGCTTTAGTAAGTAAAGTAATATAACTATAATAAAATTAGTTTTTACTAATAGTAACTTAAATTCTTTATTAATAATCTAAAGTATATATAAGTATAGTTTTTAGAATTATATCTAAGTAACTTATAGCTTTAATATATTTAATAATTCTTTAATATAAGTTTAAATATAGTAATAGTATATATTTATAATATTTTAGTATACTAGTACTTAAAAGTAGCTTTATTAATTAATTAATATTAATATTACTATCTAATATATTTATATATTAATAATATTTCTTTTTTAGTATTACTCTTTTAGTTCTAAAAAATACTATCTAGCTAGCTTAAATTTTAAAGCTATTACTACTTTTAAGAGTAGTAGTAGTAGTAGAGAGTAAGAAAATACTAAGAGTAATATTATAATAATATATAAGTAGTATAAACCTCTATAGTTTCTAGAGTAATACTTTTACTTTCT